CCCCCCCCTACCCCCCACACACACACACAATATTTAAGATATATATATTTATATAAAAATATATTTATATAGAAAAACTTTATTTATATAACATAAATATAATGAAGTATTTCTGTAATCTGTAAACAATTATAAATTAATAAATAATTTACGGTGAAATTATACAGTGTATATATCAATATAAAAAAAAATAGTAAATTCATTTTTTTAATTTTATTATAATTACTTAACTTACTGTAAATAATGTAATGTTATAAATTATATATTTATAACATGTTAATTATAATATTAAAGAATGTACACATTAAATAATAAATAATGAGAAAAATTGTACAATTTCGTTTTTATTTTATTATTACTAATATGATACATTAGTTCTAATGTACAAATCAGGCCATATGGATCCAAAATCCATTTGTGCCATGAAAATAACCACGGTCAGGATCCACATAAAATACTAAAAGGAAATATTAATAAGAAATACTGTTGTCGAAATGTTGCAAATTAAATTTCTAAATAAAGATATGAATGATATTAAAGACTAACCTTACGAATAAAATCATAACCAAAGTAAAATAAACCCATACCATTAAACTTCAATGGTTGAAGTGATATTTGCAAAATGAACTGGAAAATCTATATAATAACGTAATATTATTTAAAAATGCTTAACTTAGTTGTTCTTAGACTCCAAAAAGTTTTTGAGATAAAAATTTATCTTTCACTTCTGAAAAATGTATCTCACCTCTTCACGTATTTCGGCATAACAAGTAAGATTTGTCAGTTTATGAATAAACGTCCTTAATTTTTTGTGCCTAAAATGATAGAATTAATTATATCTCATATTTATAATTAAATTGTAATAATTAAATTGTTTTTAATGATGATTCAATTAATAGTTTTACAAGATAAAGTTTTTAAAGAATAAAATTCCAAATCTTTTATTTAAAAATAAGTATATAAATTTGTAATATTAATAATTTGTTAATATTTATTTTAATGTAATTATATATTTATAATTTTTTAAAAACATTGAAGATTTTCATTTAATTTTTTGTTTGTAAAAATTTTTTACTTTTTAAAATATTCTTACCTTAGCACTAACGCTTTCACACATATGATTTAATGATATGAATTTTATTAAAAATACGAGAAACCACAAGTTGTTAGAAAGTATAAGCTTTTGTATCGTATAACTTCCATATATTTCTTTGAAGTGCAATATAATATCGTAATGAAAATGCATCATTCCGATTAAAATAATAAAATAAGATAGCATTTGCAAAGTCATTTGCACTCCGAAGAAATTATTTACATCACGAGCTATTCGACAAATTTCTGAATGCAAATGCCTGAAACAATATTAAACAAAGAAAAGATACACATAAAATTATTAATTTATTAATTAAATTTACATTGAATAATTTATTATATCGTAAAACAGCGTAAAAGTTATGTCTAATATGTTAATATTTATGTGTTATGTAAATATAAAAATTTGTGAGTTACATTATAGTCCATAACATATGTTTGTGGTTCTCGGTATTTCGCATATAATAGTTGTTAACAACAAGAGACTTTTTCCATTTACATTTTAATCCACAATCTTTTGTTTCTAACAATTGTTTAATATGATCATTTATTTTATCCAGTCTAATACCGATATATCTATAATTTGAAAAATATTTGTAAAAATGTCATTAAATTTTTTACATTTGTTTTTACATATTACATTTTTATATATAAGAATAAGAACATTAATAAAATATACCATTCAATTATTTGTTATTTCTTTCTTTCTCTAATATTTTATGATTTATTAAATATAAAAATGTAACAACAATTTTTGTGTCTACGTATATGAATCAACTAATATAGATTTAATATGTAATACCTTTATAAAACAGTATTAATATAATATAATAATATAATATAAATTAATTAAATCTTATTTGTATTATGCTGTATGTATTGAATATACATGTATCTTTAGACATATATTATGAATGTATTAAATTAAATTATTTATTATGTATTAAATTTAATTATTTTAATTCTAATGGATAATATTATTATAAGATTTATACTTTATTAAATAAGATATATGCGAACCTTAAAAGAAACATAAACATGATATCTATTATGGTATTAACGTATATAGAATAATTTAAAACATAAGGAATAAGTATGGCTTTCATATCATTGTGTGTTGATACATCCAATAAACAATCGAGACTGCAAGAGAAGGAGGTTATTAAGAACCATGTAATCAAGATTTGTTTTATTAATTTTCGCATTCCACGATATTCTTTTGGTACATTAAGCTTTTCTAATGTATTATCCACAAGACTGAGCTTCCTTATACTTTGCCAGAATTTCTAAAGATAACAGTAACAAGACAAATTATAAAATGATGGAATTTCTCTTTGAATATAACAGTTTAATAATCCAGCTAAATCTATATAATGAAATCTTTATCTAACTTTTATATTATATTATCTAACTTTTATATTATATCATCTAATGTAAGATATATTATCAAAATTTATTAATTAATTAAAAATTTTAGCTTTTATAAAAATAAATGTATAATTTAAAAAAATAAAACTCTATTTTTTGCAAATAATAAAATTATCTTTATTATTATAAAAAGGCATCGAACGTCATTTTATTTCAAATAATGTTATCATGTTATTCAAATAATAATATTAATACAATAATATACATATATGTATATATACCTTGTGTTTATAAATGGTGGTAATTATAGTTATCATCGTCACAAACAGATTTATCATAACTATAAAAAAGACTAAAAAATTTTGAAATACACCTTTTAGTGAAAACAGGATTGTCGCATAATAAAATGTATAAGCATAAACACTCCACACAGTTAGTATATAAAGAATGCTCAAATAATATTTCGGTCGATTTAAAGGATATCTGAAAATTCCGAGACCAAAAATAAAAGCGATTAAAAAAGAGGACTTAACGCTTTTTCTACATTGACCATGATGGAAACTCTCTTAGCTCTCTCCATATGCTAACTATTAAAATGTTCTTGAAATGTTTATATCATGAACGTCACATTCACTATAATGGAATGGCATTTGATTATATCGTTATGAGATGTTTTTAAATTATTAAACATATTGTTCATAATATAATTAAGATAATTGATTCGCTTACAAAGTATTTGCAGTTATTGTTAAATTGCATTTTGCATATTTCTTATATATATTTATTTATATTATATGAAAAATGTAAGAAATGAATTTATTGTCATATAATTATACTTATTAGATAGGTTTTTCTAGAAAGATGATTTTTTACTATTTAATATATTACAAAGTAAACTTTATTAATTAGAATAAAATATATCTTATATACCTTAACACAAACACAAAGTAATCATTTCAAACAATATAAGTGAGAGAGAGAGAGAGAGAGAGAGAGAGAGAGAGAGAGAAGAAGAA